AGACCGATGATGGTGTAAATGATGAAAAGTATGAAGAGGATGAAGATCCGTTTTAAGACTTTGACTGATGGACAAGTCCTCGCGATGCAGTACTAGGGCCCTTAGAACCGCATGGAAAGTAATATCAAAGTAACATTTAGTATGACAGATCATTTGTAACGGTCAATAAACGAATGAATATTTTCAAGATATACCTAGGTTGTAGATGAATGGTAAAGATGATGATAAAGGAGAAATGTGAAGTGAGATGGATGGGTGCGTTTAAGAGAAAAAGTGTTTGGGACTAAGATGCTGGTCAGTTAAAGAGATATGAAAATTCAAATAATGTTGAGTACTATGATCAATGGAAATAGTCGTAAGACCACAACATAAAGCTGTGAGTCGACTCCATTTTTGTATCTTTAACGAACATAAGGATCATGATTGGTAGGAATAATAAGTTGAGGTATGGGAGAAAATTGGGGTTCCCTTTTTTGGCCAAGAAGATTGCTCATGGCATCTTTAATGGGTAACCTGAGAATTAATCAACTATAACTTTAAACTACAGAAATGTAGCGCACAATGTAAACAAACGTAACAAGAAATACAAAAGAAGATGATAAATGTAACAAATGAAAGAAAACTAGGTATAATACACATGAAGATCAATAACAAAAGCAAGAAAACGTGATGAGTATAATACAAGAAAAAAAAACAAACAAACAAATGATGAACACAAAAAAGATGAATGTTTAGTATCGGCGAATACTAAGGCCTTCTGCATAACTATTTTTCCCATAAACATTTGTGGATAAACGTTTAGCTTTTTTCCTCTTTTTATATACGAAAACGTCCCATGACGTTGGCATTATTTTGTTATGCTTATACCATTGAGTCATGTCTAATCGTAATAAATAAGGAATAGAATCTAATCGATTAAAATGAGGAACATAGGTCATATCTGAATGATATGCAGTTCCTGGGACTAATTTTTGGATATCACTGTTGTTATCCTTTAATGTGTTAGGATCTTTTGCTAATGTTTGGAGTAGAACTGTAGGAAATATATTTGTTGTTTCATCAAGGTTTAAATTATTATTAATATTATCATTAGTTACTGTTGATTGTGAGACTGGTATCTCGCCACTCGAAGTGGCGGCACCGGAATCAACTAATACAGTAGAATGATGTGTTGATGGTTTTTCTGAAACATTTATAGTTTCAAATAGCATCATAGTTTGTAAAGTTTCGTCTTCTGACGATTTAACATGATGAAATAAATTGGATTGCGAAAAAACACTATCCTGTTGACTAATCAATGTTGATGGAATAACGGTTTTATCGAAGTGTAATAATAATATTTCGTAAAAGTCTTCATAGGATTGAATGTTTCGTCGATTTAGTATGTAAACCTTTTTTGCGGGTCCTTCCACTAATAATGGAATTGCCGTGAAACGTAAATTCCTTGGAATTAAAAGTCGATTAAATTTCCTTTTGGTTTCACTCAACCATTGATTAACATCTTGTTCACCGGAAAATGGTGTAAAATTTTGAAGGATAAATATATCGAAACTATTTTCATCAACAGTTTCTACTAATGAATAATTTTTATTCAATGAATTATCAGATTCATTATCGATTCCAAATATCTTGTATGATTTCGTGAGTAAATGAGATAATGGTATGATTGATTTTCTAGGATTTTTGTTTAATAGATTCAAGAAATTAGAATCTTGTTTATTTTTCAAGGTAGATATTGGTTGATATGAAGTGTTTTGTATATTCATCGGTTTATATGATAGTGAATTATTTAAATGAGAAATACGATCATCGTTATCCATTTAAAGATGATCAATGAATATAGGTAGGAAAATGTTCAAGAGTAAGAAAAAATAATGTGAGAATGAAAAATGTGGTGAGTGGAAAAATATGTAAATGAAAAAATGTTATCAGTGAGAAAAAAAATCAAATATGAACAATCAAGAAAAAAAATGAAAAAAAAGAAACGGGCAATGCAGACAGAAATTGCCCAACTTCTCCACCAATTGTTAGGCTCTCGTTGGGGGGAATTATGATTCTAGCCTGACACTATCGGTTATGGCCAGATGATCAGTATATTTAATCCCGGTCTGCAACGGGAACGAGAGATCTAACGTAAATGAAGTAAATAATCATACTGACTTTGATTACGTTGATAATAAGATGAATGAGTTGGAGATATATATATGGGTTTATTAATATGAATATAACAATAAACATATAATAATAATAATATAATAATGAAGAACAATATGAAAGGGAGAAAGGATAAGGGAAGAGAAAAACAACTCGTGACCACCGGGGAGGAAGATTCAACACCAACTGAAGAGAGAAAACAACAAGAAGGATAATCACTGGAAAAGTCCAGAGAGAAATATATACTGACCACTTAGAAAGTGGAGGAAAATCCAATAGAACACAATTTGGAAGTTAGCGGTAATAGAGTGACCTCTATTGACGCTAACA